TGCTGTTGACCTCATCCGATCTGGCGGGAAGAAGCTGCGCTTCCTGGTGGCCAAGTCTGACCTGGAAGTTGCCAAGAAGATCAGCTATAGTTCTTCACCTTCTCCATAACAGCAGGTCTTCTGTAATTCACCTACCGTTGAAGGAGCTCCCAGGGTAGCAGAGTAAGCTTGGTGGGACCCATCAGCAGACGATACACCTGGGAAGTCCAGAACTCTGGCTCGAGTTGCCATTGGTCAATCTGTGTGTATGTGTGGGGAGAGGGAAAACAGTGCCATCACACTCTTGAGATCCAGAGGTTTTTCCACCAGGATTCTCTAGAAAGCATTTGTCAAGAGGACATACAAAGTTGACCTTCTAGCAATTCACAAGTACTGGGATTCAGAACCAGCTAAGCCCGTCTCTGCTTTGCTTTACAGTAGAGAATGCCATCTGGGTCACACAGTCCTTTTTTAATATGAAGCTTGCAATGGTCCCAAGCTGGTTATTTGGGACTTCTTAGCTCCTGCTAAGGACTTCACGATCTTCAAGACATTGCACATAATCTTGCTTTGCCCTCTGGGCCAACCGGTATTTGTTGTAATGATGGCTCAAGTGAACGGACTTTAAGGGTAGAATATTGAGGGGGTGGATTTCTATCATGGTTGGCCCGGTGGGGCCCTGAAGCTTTCAACGCTTGCTTTTTGCCCTAACGATCTTTCTGTTGAGCTCAGGATGGTCTGTGTCTGAAACCAGCTGCCTGCTCTGGGGTGTGGAAATCAAATTAAGGACATTTGAACGAGGTTTTGGGAAATAATAATTGCATGCCAGGAACCGGAGATGGGATGCTTTATGAAAACTCTCCCTTCCTCCGGTTAAGTATGAAGGGAACATTGCTATGCACGTTAAGGAAAAGTGGGCTATTTAAACAAAAATAGAACTGGCGGTTCTCTCATGCAACTATGGCTAATTTGCATACTGGATTTCTGTCTTTGGATCATCTGTGTGATCAACCGAAGGCAATAACAGGTTGTAGCTCTCAAAAGTTAACGTGGTGGGAACTCTGGGTTGTGATTAGGGGATCCGATGAAGACCCTTTCTTGCTGATATTTCTTAGCTTCGCCTCTCACAGGGGTTTTCAGTAAGGCTATCATATCTGAGAATGTACCTTATGATGTGTATTGCTACCCAGAGTTACCTGAGATGGATAGAAGAAGAAAAAGGAAAGGAAGGAGAAAGAAATAAAGAAAAAAGAAAGAGGAAGGAAGGAAGGAAAGAAGGAAGGAAGGAAGGAAGGAAGGAAGGAAGGAAAAAGAAAGACAGCAACAGCAAGAGCACTAAGACTTATATATCATTTCATGGTGCTTTACAGCCCTAAGCAGTTTACAGAGTCAGCCTCTTGCCCCCAACAATCTGGGTCCTCATTTTACCGACCTCAGAAGGACGGAAGGCTGAGTCAATCATGAGCCAGTGAGGATCGAACTGCTGGCAGTCAAGCAGAATTAGCCTGCAATACTGCAATCCAACCACTGCTACATAGATAAGAAATTTGGGCTGCAATAATCGAGATCACCACTAGACAGCAGCAGATATACACTAAGAGAGTAAATCTTGGCTGCCCTCTAATGGCTGTCCAGAGACACAATATACAGGAACATAATCTGTAGAGAACCAGGACGGCCGCCTTCTCTCAATGTCTTTGCTTTGATGAGGTCATTCCCTTTGGGGACTTCTCGCATAGAACTCACTTGATGAGTTTTGCCGGCGTCTGAAAGACCAGCGGCCAACGCCCAGGCAGGTGATGACTAGACTCAAACTCAAATATTTTCCTCTTAGGAACCTCAAATGGTTGGAATTGCTGAGGACCAACAACAGCCAAGAGCATTGCTCAGCTCTTCCAACCATCTACGGGATGCGAAGACCAACAATCGGCCCACTGCCGCCTCTGGTGAGGCCGTGCTGCTCCCTGCTGGCCTGCCGGCTCTCTTCGCAATCCATTTTCCAAGCCAAACAAAAGGCAGGCAGGATTTGTGGCCAGTATAGCAACGCTGCAGAAAAATAATTCCTGAAATAAAGTGGATTTTAATTGCCTAGCTCCCCGCTATCTTCCGGGCTGTTTGCCAAGGGCTGCAGTAGAAAAGTAAGGAAATTAAGATCTGTGGCATTGAAAAGGTCAGCGTTGGTGCTTGTTCCCAGATGCTTGTTTTAAGGTGCCAAAATTTTCAAGATCAGGGGATCGATGCTACCTGGGGCCTGGTAATCCATCTTCAAGCAGCTGGGGAGGATAGGTTGGGGAACACTGGAAGAATATAACCTTCACGTGATCTGATAGGCAGGAAGTGGAGGAAACCAGAGCACACCTAGAGTCCTGCATCCAGTTTTGGTCACCACATTATTAAAAAGACGTTGAGACTCTAGAAAGCGTGTGGAGAAGAGCAACCAGGATGGTTGGTTGCTGAAAGATACGATGAACGGTTGCAGGAACTGGGCCTGGCTAGTCTAGTGAAGAGAAGGACCAGGGGAGACAGGAGAGCATCTTCCAATATTTGAGGGGCTGCCCCAGAGAGGAGGAAGGGGGTCAAGCTATTTTCCAAAGCACCCGAAGGCCAGACAAGGAATAATAGATGGAAACTGATCCAGGATAGATTCAACCTGAAATTCAGGAGAAACTTTCTGACAGTGAGAACAATCAACCCATGGAACAGAAGTTGCCCTCGGAAGTTGTGGGAGCTTCATCACTGGAGGCTTTCAAGAAGAGATTGGACTGTCCTCTGTCAAAAATGGTGTAGGGTCTCCCGCTTGGGTGGAGGGGGGGTGGACTAGATGACCTACAAGGTCCCTTCCAACTCTGATTATCTGTTTTATCTGAGAGATCCCTTCTCAAGACATCAAATTCCTCTGCTCTACTAGCTTAAAAAAAAATTCATCTGCCCTAATAACTTGGAAAAAAAAAGACACACAGAAGTGGACGACCGGCTAAAAATGATGTAAGCCAAATTGGCTGGGTATATCCAGCCCTTTCTTGTCCTTCAGCCAAACCAAGGGTTGTCTTGTTCCATGCGAATGCCAGGTTCCTTGTAAGGCCTGCAACCAACCGTCTATCTCTTCTGTTGATCTCCAACAACGAACACTCGGCAGGATCTACAGTGGCTCTTCCACTGTTCCTGAACCGCAGATTCCCCTCGTCCTGCTAGATCTGGTGATATGGACAAAAAAAGAGATAAGATACGATCTATCGAATCAACCGATTGATCGTAAACTTGCTCATAAGCACAGGATTCTTCTAAAGATCAGCTAAGGGACAGCAGAAGTAGGGCCGTTAATTAATTCACCTGCCTGAGCAGGGGGCTGGACTAGAAGACCTCCAAGGACCCTTTCAGCTCTATTCTATTCCTGTTCCTGTTCTGAAGTTCTTAATTCCTAATTCCTATCCTAAAGTCTATTCTATTCCTATTCTAAATTCTATTCCTATTCTAAATTCTATTCCTATTCTAAATTCTCAAGTTCTTAGTTCGTAATTCCTATTCCTATCCTATTCTTTTCTATTCCTATTATATTCTAAATTCTATTCCTATTCCAAATTCTATATTCTATTCTGCATTTTATTCTATTCCAAATTTTATTCCTATCCTATTCTAAATTCTATTCCTATTCCAAATTCTATTCCTATCCTATCCTAATTCTATTCTATTCTATTCTATTCTAAATTCTACCCCTATCCTATTCCTATTCCAATCTAACCTGGGATTTCCAAATTTGGCAATTTGTGGACTTCAAGTCCCAGCATTATTGGCTGGCTGAGGAATTCTGGGAGTTGAAGTCCACAGGTCTTCCAAGTTGCCAAGGTTGCAGACTCCTGCCATAAACCATTAATGTGTCTCTCCAGGCAAATTCCACCACCAATTCCTGAAAGCTGAGGAGAGAAACGAAGGCTGCCACTCATTTTTTTCCAGAGAATGTTAATCTTTGGCTTGGAAGAATGAAAGGGTGACCCACCTTCTCATTTCGTATGTCTTAATCTGCTCCGCATCTTGAGGGTGGGTGGGTGGAAATGTATATAATTCTAATATTGCAGAGGACTTGTCGTGGGTGGATTCAAAATGCTCCCTTCTGTGCCGAAAAACGGGATGAAGTAAAATAAGAACAAAAAGGATCCTTGTGTTGAAGTCTCTGCTTCAAAACTTTGTGTAAGTGGGAGGGAAGGAGGAGGAGGAGGAGACAAGGAATAACCCGTTGGGACTACAGGTAATCCTCGGGTTACGGCTATAATTGAGTTCAAGATTTCTGTTATTGAGCCAGACAGTTGCTGTGTGAGTTTTGCCCCGTTTTACGACTTTTCTTGCCGCCGTTGTTAAGTTTGTGTTAAGTTTGGGTCAGAACACTAACTACAACCTTCATTCTACTTCAGAGAAATGACTGTCTAGGCCCGTGATGGCAAACCTACAGCACACGTGCCGCAGGGGGCATGCAGAGCCATTTGTGCAGGCAAACTTACCTCATGGCGTATGCGCGCGCCTCACAGCTGATTTTCAGCCGGTTTGAGGCCTTTTTTTGGCCTCCCAGAGGCTCGAGGAAGGCTTCCGCAGGCTTTGCAGGCCGAAAACTAGCCCCGTTTCGTCACTTCCTGTTTTTCTGAAAATACCGGAAGTGATGAAACGGGGCTAGTTGTCGGCCTGCAAAGCCTGCAGGAGCCTTCCTCAAGCTTTTGGGAGGCCGGAAGAGGCCTCAAATTGGCCGAAAATCAGCTGTGAGGGGCAGTGCAGGTGTGGAGGTGGGTGGGTGGGGATTACGCTCGCATGCGTAGGGGGCATGGCGGGTGCGCATTGCCTTCTGGGTGCTGGCACATGAGTGCAAGCGCGCGCACCATTTTTGGCACAGGAGCCCCAAAAGGTTAGCCACCACTGGTCTAAGCTCTTAAAAACATCCAGCGATGGAGCGCCCACGATGAAGCCAGAGTTCCTTCCCAAGATCCACGAAGGACACTTCAGTTTGCTGAACCCAACCAGAACTAGAGGAGGACACGTAGACCATGAATGGTTTTAATAAACCAAGATGTGAGATGTTCTGACGGAGACAACGTTTGTCATCGACGGTAAAGACACCCCGGTGTGCTAGGAAACGGTGAAGCGGGATCCAGGAGTCCTTAGAAACTGAGAAGGCACCAGGGAAGTTCTAACCCATCACCAGGAAGCAACCTCAGGTTGGTCTCATCCAGGAACGGAGCCAGTTCCTCCTTCCAAAAGCTGGCTGGTCATCTTCATGGCCAGCAGCAAAGGGATGTGGGTCTCCCGGTGGCTTAAGTCCTCGGAGGGCGGTCTTAGCACGAACTGAGCTACGCTGGGCATTTTCAGTAAGTTCATCAGCTCCGTCGCCCGGGTGAGGATGGCCTCAGTTTCTTCAGCACAGTAGACCGAGGAAACAGACGGGCTCTGGATGAATATCTTCATCTTCGAAAGAACCAGGCAAACTCTGCAGCACAGAAGCCAAAATAAAGGAATAAATAAAATCAATTGGAAGCAGCAGCGAGGGTTGCTGAAACTGAACCAAAACGGGTTATTCTCAACTTATAATTCATTGAATGACCCTTTGACGTTACGACGGCAGTAGAAAAAGTGGCTTAGGACGGGTTTTTTTGCACTTACAACCCTTATAGCATCCCCGTGGTCACACGATCAAAATTCAGACACTTGCCAACTGACTCATACTTATGACAGTGGCAGTGTCCCGGGGTCATGGGAGGAGGAGGAGGAGGAGGAAGAGGGCTGAGGGGTCCTTGGTGCTCTCTGAGCTTGGTGATTTTCTTGCAGACGTTTCGTGACCCAACTAGGGAACCTCATCAGTCTGAGTGTGGGGTTTGCTCCATGTTTAGATACAATACTTTGTTCTGCCAGTTATTGGTGGGCCATGGGGTGGTGGTGGGTGGGACCAAAAAGACCAGAACACACCCCCTCCAACTGCCAATGATTAGATAAGCAGGGGTTAACACCAGACAAACAATCCAGCAGAAAACAATGCCTGTATCAAGAGAAAACCATACTCCGCCAATACTAACAGGGCGAGCTGTTGCACGCAAATAGAGAACAAACCCCCCACACTCCCTAACGCTGAAGAAGTTACCTAGTTGGGTAATAAAACATCTGCAAAGAAACAACCAAGTTCAGAGAGAGCGCCAACCAGGTGTCCGCAGATCCAGAGAAATCTTTCTGGAAACCAGTAAGGGAGGGAGACTTTATCAGGGGACCATTCGAACCTGGGGATCAGGTCCTGGCTGCGAGATGCTAGCTTGCTCAAGGCGGCCATGAGGACGGCGATCACACGAGGCGAATACTTGGGGATGTTAGCTGAAGGTCGCAGCTGGGTGATCTCAAACAGCATGGCTTCCAGAACGTCGAAGAAGGTGTTGATCTGCTCCACCGTGCAACGTTTATCGTGCGTCACTGATGCATATTCACCAATGGCCCAGACCTAGAAGACATGACCAGACATGAGATGGGATTCAGCCGGTTCGGACCAGTTCTGGAGAACCGGTAGCGGAAATTTTGAGTCGTTCGGAGAACCGGCCAATCCCACCTCTGATTGGCCCCACCAACCCCATCTCTTCTCTGCCTCCCATGGAGTCACAGCTGATTGGCTGGGTCTCCTTTGGTTGCCCTGCCCAGGAGAACGGAGCTGGAAAGCAGGTTAGTGGGTGGTGAGGGAATGGGGATTTTGCAGTATCCTTCCCCTGCCACGCCCACAAAGCCACCAAACCATGCCCACACCCATCAAGAATGCCACACCCATCAAGTCACAGCTGATCGGCTGGGTCTATTTTGGTTGCCCTGCACAGGAGAACAAAGCTGGAAAGCAGGTTACTGGGGAGGGAAGGGAATGGGGATTTTGCAGTATCCTTCCCCTGCCACGCCCACCTAGACACACCCACCAAACCGGTAGTAAAAAACATTTGTGAATCCCACCACTGCAGGTTATCTCCTTACCACGTGAGTGAAGAGGTCCTCCTTGGTCTGAATGTTGGACACGGTCCCTGAAAACTCCAGAAGGGGCTTGGACAGCTCCACCACCAAGGAGGGGTGCTGCTTGCACAACACTTGTAGCTGGGAACTCATCACTCTGCCGGGTGAAGAGAGACTCTGAGAAAGGGAGGAGGCTCCCCAAAGAGAGGCAGGGTGGGGTCCCCGGACAATCCCAAGCCAAGGTTCAAGCACAGAGGACCGGAATCAACTCCGGTTTCTGAAGAGGTCTGCGGTAGAAGTCACTCTTGGGCTCAAGATCCGTCTCAAGCGCCTGCCTCTCCGCTCTGATTTACAACACCCTTCCGCTCACCTGAACACCTCGGCCTTGAACCCGGGGATCTCGTAAAGCAGATCACTTCTCTCCAGGGCTGCCAAGGTCAGCTTCTTGGCCAGAGTTTCGTCTGCAAACTGGAGGAGAATTCAGGAGAAGCAGCCTGTTATTATTATTATTATTATTATTATTATTATTATTATTATTATTATTATTATTATTATTATTAATTTTATTGCCTCGGGTCATGATTGCAACACATTTTAGCAGAGGGCTAGAAGTAACTCCAGGTTCTGAAGATGTCTGCTTCCTCTTTCCTTTTTTTTTTTTTTTTTTTGAGCTTGTAAATTAAAAAAGGGCTAGAAACATAACTTTCCAATATTTCCAATATTATGTGGTGTAATTCTGGGTTGTGTCAGATCCGGAATGACAACAGACTTTGCCAATTCGATGCTTTCCTAAATAAAAGAAATTGTTTTGGAAGACGGACTTTGCTCTTTTCTTTTTAAATGGATTTCATCCCTTGGAAACCTGACAACGGGGACTTTCGTTCTCCTTTTCCCTCCAGTGTCTCATCGAAGCGGTCACTATTATGGACATCACCTGCCAGCACGACTCTACTTACGTTGACCGCAGGAGCCCTGGGCTGTACAGTCGCCCCAACACATCCCAGCGATAACCTTCTTGGACCGCGTGGCGATGGGAACCTTACCTTGGACACCAACCTGAAGAAGAGCCGCAGCAAGCGTGGGATGGTCTTGGCACATTGTCCAACCCGAGGGTGACTGGCCAGGGATCCCAAAAGCTGCCGAAGAGGAGTCAGCCTGCGGACAATCACACGATGCAAACCACAATGCGCCACACAAGACCGTGTAAACTAGCCACGTTGATTTTTTTTTTTTTTTAAAAAGGCTTAAATCTGGACGATTACCTGCTGGGGTCACCTGGAGTGGACTCAACCCTCAGGAGATAATGGAAGAGGCCCCTGTATTGAGGGTGTCGGAAGGCTTCCAGGCAGGTGACAGGTTTTGAAGATGGATCTATGGTGGACCTCTCGGATAAGGGGGTCAAGACAGACCTAGGGAGAAGTCATATAAAGAACGGTTCCAGGAACCGGATGTGTCTAGCCTGATGAAAAGAAGGACTGGGGGGTGACATGATAGCAGCCGTCCAATATCTCAGGGGCTGCCCCAAAGAAGAGGGAGTCAAGCTATTCTTCAAAGCACCTGAAGGCAGGACAAGAAGCAAAGGATGGAAACTGATCGAGAAGTTAAGCAACCTAGAACTAAGGAGACACTTCCTGACAGGGAGGACAATCAACCAGTGGAACAACTTGCCACCAGCAGTTGCGTGTGCTTCATCACTGGAGGTTTTCCTGTTTGAGTAGGGGGCTGGACTAGAAGACCTCCAAGGTCCCTCCCAGCTCTATCCTGATTGAAACTGACCCACAAGCACCGGCCAAGGCCGATGCCAGGCATGGACGACCTGAAAGTCACCCGCTTCTTCTTTGCAACACACGCTCTGCCTCTCCCACCTGGCAAAGCATCGAATCAGTTCCTTCCTTCATCCTTTGAAACCTGCCTGAGTATCTTGGCTTGCCCCTTCTCCTAAAAAGCTGTGCCCCACCCAGTACACCGGGGCCTAGACCCATGATGGCAAACCTATGGCACGCGTGCCATAGGTGGCACGCAGAACCATTTGTGCTAGCACGCAAGCCGCAGGCAAACTTACCCCCCTGCGCACGCGCGTGCCTGACGGCTGATTTTTTTTTCAGCTGGTTTGAGGCCTTTTCCCGCCTCCCAGAAGCTTGAAAAAAGCCTCTGCAAGGCTTTTCAGGACGGATTATAGGCCCGTTTCGTCACTTCCTGTAATACCGGAAGTGACGAAA